CAGCCCCAAAAAAGGGGATGGGAAACCCTCCCAAAAATTTTTTGCCCGGGGCCAAAACCTTGGCCCCCGCCCCCCCCCCCCCCCGCGCCAGAAACCTTCGAGCATCACCAAAGGGTCGGCGGCACCCCATCCGGCAACGCCAAGGAGGAACACAGCAGCAGCACGGGGGGGCTGGGCGATCGAGAGTCGCGCATAGAAATCACGATAATGACAAGGCAGGCGGCAAAAGACGTCTCGGGTCTGGTCCACACGCCACCACCAACGCGAGCTGGCTCTGGGGGCTAACAGCCGGTGATGGATGCTTTCTGCCACTCCTTCCACCGTGCTTAGCGCTGAAAAACCGGTGATTCACCCCCCACGAAAAACACGAGTGGTACGGCAGAGAAGAGAGAGGCGGGGACAGACCGTTAGCGAGAGGCAGCAGAAACGTACACTCACACAAAGGCGTGACAGCGGGAGACGTTGGGGCCGGCACGGAGAGGAGGGCTGGAGCGGGGCGGGGTAGAAGCGCGAGGCATCGGAAATCAATGTACCATGTTTCTAAGCAAGGCAACACCCCTGCTACGGAATGACCGCTTCTGCAGCATCAGCTGCTCGCTACATTCTACTATTACCGCAAACAAGTCTTGTCCCTGTGGTTACTTTCGGTGCTACTATGCTTCCACAATGAACCACAACAAACACGTTGTGATTCACTGAGACACATACAAAAGAAATAAACACAAGCCTGCCCACAAAAACAACAACAGGAAACATTCGTGATGGATTTAGAGTGTCATTTTGCTACTTCATACATGCTGCTGCTTCCCATGACAGAAGGTACAACAAGGTCCCAGGACCAAACGAAGCCTACATGGGAAAATAGGTATGTGTGTATGTGCACTCACGATCGGCTTCATCTCCATCCCCTTCTCCTTCAACACCTTCACCACGTGCTCGTGCATCTGCAGCTCCTGGGGGCCCTGCAACGGCGGTGTGGGGTCCTGACCCCCCACGTCCTGCAGCGCCACACCACGTATCCCCCAAAACAGAGATGAGGGAAAGGAGGGGAGGGGAGGGGAGGGGGGGCGCGACGCTTAGAATTGGGGACGTCCATGACAGACTCGGCGCGTGTTGAGCGCAATTGGCTGCTGAAAAAAAAAAGTACTTCATGATAGCGTGGCACTCCGACAACAGAGGAGGCGTGATCACATATACAACCTTGTGGGGGCCTACGTATTATGACCCTACTGATACTCTGAAACAGACCGTTGACAGTATAGAAAACATTTAACAAAATAATGGAAAGGAAATCCTTTCGAGATACAACCATTTTGGAAGAAAAAAAAACGACTACCACTCCAAAAAAGAAAGGGCACAACAAAACTGCTGAGGAAACCAACGGATGACGCAAGAGCCCATCTCCGAAAGAGGGCCGGCGGCGGTGGTGCACCTGTGGGACGTTCTCCAGGTCGATCAGCTCTCCCATCTTTTCCAGGAAATTTCCGCCGCAGACAACTACCTTCGCCCTCGTGTTCGGGTGAACGAAGGGCGTCACGAACTGCGTGATCGAACCAAGCAAGCAAGCAAGCAAGCAAGCAACGTAAATGCATCAGACGCGCGCGCCCAGAAATGTGCACGGGAAAAAATTATTCGCGGCCGACACGGGAATGAAAACGAGGCACAAGAAGCAGGGCTGCAAGTTCGAGGGTCAATTGGTAACGCCGGTTGCTAGCGACCCCCTTTCCCCTCCCCCACTTCGGACACGCCTCGCCCAAACAGAGACAACGCTGAACCATCAGGGAGCGTTAAGGACAAAGGCTGGCCGTTCCAATGGTTTGGCGTCCGATGCTAACGCTCACCGCCCTCCCGCCCAAACGACGCGTGGTCAAACTGTCCAACAACTAGTGCATGCAAAACATGAGTACGACTCCCCCCCCCCACCCCCCCCCCTCCAACACCCCTCCCACCTTCCCAAAAAACC